CGAGAACTTACCAGTCGCACCAAATTTTTTTCTTTTTCTTTTTAGCTTTTCTTATTAACTCTAGCAGAGACACAAATTTAGATAATAATTAACCATGATTAAGTGATGAAAATTTCAAAATCACATTTGCAATGCATTTATTAGTTTAACATCACGCACGGGTAAATGTTAGTATTTTATGTAGCACAGCTTTCTTATTAGTTTGTCCCAAAAAAGAATTACGTATTTTTATATTTAGAAATAATTATTTTCATTTTATTGATTTATGCAAATGTTTATGGTTGTTTTATACCTTTAAACTTCGTGTCCAATCAACCGCACTACATAAATTGAGACGGAGATAGTATTAAATTATCAATATATCAAAATTAATTAAGCAAATGCAAGCCAAACTTAATTGTAAATTGACCTAAAACTGAATTAAAGCTACGTACTTTATTGGCAAAATCTCTTCCAAACTCTCCAAATTATCCAAGGCTCCACGTTTTAATGCACTCTGAACTTCCTCGCCATCACCGTCACCGCCGTCCGATGATGGCATTCCCGCCGGCGACTCATCACTATTTCTCCCAATCGAAGAAGACGAAGAAGTCCGGTCATCGTCGTCGTCGCCTTCCTTATTCGCCGGAATCCAACGGTCTCCGGCGACGAATTCCAGTGACTTATAAATCGGAATACACGGAATTCCTTTGATGAATCCTGGCCGTTTGATCTTATGATCAGTTGTGCTGTTCCTCTCTAATGCAATCGACATAGATTCAATTGTACAGAAGTAGAAGAAGAGGAAGATAGATACAGAGAGTGTATACGTATAGGTTTATAGAAACGAAAATGAACAGAAATGAGATAGGGGAAAAGGAATAAAATGAGGAAGATGAAGGACTTATCTTTTATCCAACAAACTGTAGTTAAATATTGCAAATTGTATAAATTAACACAAACTTATCTTTTCTTAAAGTATCTTTCGTTATTTTTTAAATCTAGAAACTAGAAAGAAATGGTCCCTCCACCCTAAATCAAATAGCCAAAATATTTAATTTTTATAGCATGTTTGATTGAGATTCTAAAGTCAATTTAATTTTAAAAGTATTTTTTTCAAAAATATTTTTTTAATTTTTTTTTTTTACTAAGAAACACTTTGTGTTTGACTAACATCCAGTATATTCCCGCAGGTGAAATATATTGTGTTTGTTCTTTTCAACCTAGTCTTTAAAAAATACTTTTGAACAGTAATTAGTGATTGGTAAGCCGAACGAATTCATGTATTCCACAGTCATGAATGGGCTTAGCAAAAGTGGCCATACTCAAAAAAACTTTCGATTTGGCACGGGTAATGGAACAAGGAAGCACTAGGCCCTATGGAAAGATAGAATGTTAGATGCCGCAGTTAGCCTTTTTGAAGAGATTTGTAACAAAAAGGCATTCCTCTGGACATATAATTCGTTGATTGATGGTCTCTGTAAGTTTGGTAAGTGGGAAAAGGTTAGGCCTTTGTTCTTTGAAATGGTAAATCTTAATATTTATCCAAATGTGCGCACTTTGGCCACTGTAACGGATGCTACTCAAACTTTTTTTTTTTTCTTCTAAAAGTTTGGCCAAATACCTTAACTTTAGAAAAAAAAATATTTTTCGCCAAAAAAAAATAACTTGGCCAAATATGCTATTAAGTACAAGTTAATGTTTTGTACTTTCTGTATATGATTCCGGATATTTAACCTTCTAATAGACTAAACAACATATAAGGACCCCTTCTAAATTAAGAAAAAAATTAAGGTGAAATTTATTGGTATTAATTAACAAATTAAGTTGACGTAAAGATGCTATTGTATAGGGAAATATACGACATGACATGTGGCCGCTTAAAGGAAGGACACGTGGAACACAAGATGGGGATGGCCACCAAACATATCTATTCCGCTTGTCACCGGAAGGAATAACGATCATAAAAGGAATATTAAATGCTTTGCGCCCGGTAATATTTAATACAGAATATTTTGCAGCATTAAGGATGATGGCATGTTACAAGAAATTTGGCATTTATGTCTAACGTTACATCTTCATCAAGAGTGGGTTTCTCTAGTGGTGAGCACCCTCCACTTCCAACCAAGAGGTTGTGAGTTCGAGTCACCCCAAGAGCAAGGTGGAGAGTTCTTGGAGGGAGGGGGCTGAGGGTCTATCGGAAACAGCCTCTCTACCCAGGGTAGGGGTAAGGTCTGCGTACAAACTACCCTCCCCAGACCCACTAGTGGGATTATACTGAGTTGTTGTTGTTGTTGTTGTTACATCTTCATCAATGACCCTCATAATTAACATTAAAGAAGGGCATGATCCTAGAACTTCCTTCCCTAGACTCGGCTATAAATAGAGAGCTCAGTTATCATTGTAAAGAGGACGAATTTTCTGGCTAACTTACACTACATTCTACATAGCATTTTAATACAATACTATTTTCTCGCTTTTGATCACATCATTATTGTGCCCGAAAACCTATTCCCGCACTCATCAGCTCTGTCGTTCCATCTACATTCTAAGGCTAAGTATTTTATATTTCATCAGTTATTTCATTATCTTTTGGATCAAATTAATTCACTTGTCTAGAAACCACGAACAAATTCAACTGTACCGTTTTACGGGTAAACAGTTTGGCGCCCACCGTGGGGCCTAGATAGTCATGCGATTAAATGCTTGCCTTTTTTACTAACGTGTTTGATTATTTTGTCTTAGCAAAAATTACAAAAGAAATGGCAGATAACACTATTAACGGCACACGCAACCCTGAAATTCAAGGGGAACAACCTTATTTCGAGGATTCAATCAGTGGCACTCGCAATGCAGGGAACGGCGCCACACCGGTACATGACATGTGGTACCCTCGACAGGTTCGGGAGGCAACTCCTAATGATGTTGATGAGGGGCATGTGGCGGATGCAGTAAGGGTCCTGCAAGAGCAACATGCAATTATTCTAGGCCATCTCACGCGACAGGATCAGGTTATGACGAAACTGAAGCAGGCGCTATCGGGTGCCTCAAATAATGCAAACAGGCGAAATCTAGTTCGTCATGTTGTTCCCGCGAACCAAACGACGCATAGAATTGATAATAACACTCCTACGGGTGAAGTTGGCTCCGACGAGGCTGGGAGATTAGATCTGGCCTCATCAATGAGAACGATCCGTTCAAGGATGAACTTTTGCGGTTCATGAAGGAAGTAAACGCCTGCATGGATTAAATCCCGGGCGCACCACCAGTACTAAAAGGCCCAAACTCGAAAAAGTATATTTAATTACTGTATAAACCGAGCGCAACCCCGGAATTAATCCCGAAGCGGTTCAAAATGCCTAAAGTGTCAAAGTATGACAGAACTTCAGATCCACATAAGCACATTACCACCTACACAGCAGCAGTGAAAGGAAATGATTTGGATCCTCACGAAATTGAGTCTGTGTTGCTGAAAATATTTGGTGAGACTCTCACGAGGGGAACTTTAACATGGTATTCATTATTGCCTGAGAATTCCATATATTCCTTTGAGATGCTCGCGGATTCTTTCATCAAAGCTCACGCCGGTGCCAGAAAGGTACAAGCCCAAAAGGCTGACATATTCAGGATAGCGCAGGGAGAATCTGAATTAGTACGAGAGTTCATTACCCGGTTCCATAAGAAAAGGATGTTACTACCGGAAGTCCCAGATGAATGGGCGGCTGAAGCGTTCACCAAAGGTTTAAATTCGAGAAGTTTGGATGCTTCCCGGAAGTTGAAAGAAATTCTGCTCGAGTTTCAAGCGACGACTTGGGAGAATGTCCACAACCGGTACGAGTCGAAAAAAAGCATCTAAGACGATCAGGTTGGCTTTCCATTGTCGACCAAAGGACGGGAGAAGAATAGAGAAAAAATGAAAGATGATATTGACACGGATAGACGGACTTCGAGGGACCGATTTTTGGCCTACGAGAAGACAGAAGGCCGTGGCAGGAACTTTCGGATAGTAGAGAAGTTCATCATTGATAGAAGGACCGATCGTGGCCGGAACAACAAATCACTACAGGATAGAGAAATCTCGTGGTCGCGAGATTCTTCTTACCCAAAGTTTTCGGAGTATAATTTCAACGTCAGTGTGGTGGAGTTGGTATCAGCCATAAGAAATATCAAAAAGGCATGATTCCCAAGACCTATGAAATCTGATCATAGTCAGAGGGATCCCAATTATGGTGTGAATACCACGGCACTAACGGCCACCGGACTAGGGACTGCCGACACCTCCGGGAAGAAGTGGCAACACTGTTAAAGAATTGTCACATCAGAGAATTCTTGAGTGACCGAGCTAAAAACAATTATGGTCGGAACATGGGTGACGCGGAAACCTCAAAAGCAGGAGAAGAACCCCCACGCCAAATGATCAACATGATATTCGGAGGAAATGAAATTAACTGGGTCACCTTTTCGGCAGCAAAGAAGACAAAAGTATCGATAACTCATAGTAAAAGGATACGGGAAGACGATATCACATTTACGAACGAAGATGCAGACGTATTACTGCTACCGCACAATGGCACACTGGTAATTTCTTTAAATGTGTTAGATTTTAAAATTAAACGTGTTTTAGTGGATCCAGGAAGTTTAGCTAATATCGTATAATGGAGAGTACTGGAGCGAGCTAAACTCACTGGAAGCATTATCCCGGTAATGAAACTCCTCTCTGGATTCAAGCTCGCAAACGTGACAACCCAGAGAGAAATTTTATTGTTCACGAACACTAAGGGAGTAATGAAGACAACTCTCTTCGAAGTGGTAGATGGAGACATGGGGTATAACATCATCTTGGGAAGACTATGGATGCACGAGATGAAAGCTATGCCTTCAACATATCACCAATTGTTAAAGTTTCCGACACCTGAGGGGATCAAACAGATAAGGGGTGATCAACCGGCGGCAAGAGAAATGAATGCAATTTCGGTCTCCAGTAGCAAAGGAAAGGAACGTGCGGTATAGCAATTACTGGAATCGGCACCTTCCCCCGAACCAGAGGAAGTTAGCCCGGGGGAAGAAGAGTCGGAACAATATCAAGTACCAAGGTATTTTCAAGTACCAGAAGAGACGGATGCGATGAAGTCCACGGCATAAGAACTAGAGCAAGTTGCGCTGTTCGAAGAATTCCTCGAAAGAGATTCCATTTGGGAAAATGACTGCACCCGGAGCTTAGGTATGCTTTTATTGAATTCCTTAAAATTAACGCCGATTGTTTTGCATGGTCGCACGAGGATATGACAGGAATCCCGATGGAGGTATCCATACACAAGTTAAGCTTGGAACCCAACATACCTCCGGTAAGGCAAAAGAAGTGCCATATTGCTGAAGCAAGGAATAGATTCGTCAAGGAAGAGGTAACCCGTTTACTTAATATTGGTTCAATCTGAGAGGTAAGATATCCGGACTGGTTAGCCAATGTAATAGTAGTAGTTCCTAAGAAAAATAATAAATTTTGCATGTGCGTAGATTATAAGGATCTTAATAAGGAGTGCCCAAAAGAGTCATTCCTATTGCCAAATATCGATCAAATGATTGATGCAATGGCCGGGCCCGAGTTAATGAGTTTCTTCGATGCTTATTCTAGGTAAAATCAAATCAAGATGAACCCAGAAGACCAGGAAAAGACTTCGTTTATACATATTGTTACAATGTGATGCCCTTCGGGTTAAAAAACATCGGAGCCACTTATCAACGGCTCGTCAATAAGATGTTCGAAAAACAAATATGAAAGATTATGGAAGTATATATAGACAATATGCTCGTTAAGTCTCTGAATGCAGGTGACCACCTGAAGCATTTGCAAGAAATATTCGACATCCTGAAGGAGCATAATATGAAGCTTAACCCCGAGAAGTGTGCTTTTGGGGTAAGTTCGGGTAAATTCCTAGGATTCCTAGTCTCACAAAGGGGAATTGAGGTAAATCCCGACAAAATCAAGGCCATAGAGGAAATCCCGAATCAATTGTCTAACGTAAAAGAAATTAAGAGGCTTATAGGGAGATTGGCAGCTTTGAGCAGGTTCATTTCCCGTTCATCAAAAAAATGTCATCGCTTCTTCGAACTACTATAAAAGAAAAACAATTTCGAATGGACATCGGAGTGTCAACAAGCCTTGAAGGTTTGAAGATAAAGAGGATTACCTCTTCACCTTGTCATCCGAGCGCGAATGGTCAAGCAGAGTCAACAAACAAAGTGATTATACAAAATCTAAAGAAAAGGTTGGAAGCAGCAAAAGGCAACTGGCCCGAAGAATTACCTGGGGTTCTATGGGCCTATCGAACAACGGCCAAGTCAAGCATAGGAGAAACCCTTTTTTCCCTTGTGTACGGCGCAAAAGCTTTGATACTGGTGGAAGTAGAGGAACCAACCTTAAGGTATTTCCAGGCGAACGAAGAATCGAACAACGAAACAATGCTGATCAACTTGGAGTTGCTCATTCAGTTTTTGTCCCAATTGGGTTTTTCTAGCAAGGTTTTTAACGAGGCAGCAATGGAAAGCATACTACGAAGACAACAACAATAATATCTCTGATGTCAAGGCTTCACTCGAGGGAGATTAGGTAATCTTTGGTTTGATAGCAAATTCCCACCGAGAAGTTAAGTTTGCTACCGAACAGAGGTTACCCGATCGTTCACGAGCACAAACCACTAAAGGATTGTTAGGTATTTTTTTGCTCGATAGTATGGGTTCCTAAGGGGAAACAAGATATGTTGCCGAGTGAAGGATTACCTAGCAATTCATTGGTGGAATCTTCGAAGATATAAGACTTCCAGTGTTCCAATTCGCATTCTTCGCATTCGAACACTGGGGGGGGAATNGGGGTAATGATATGATAATACAGCAACACTGAATGCCACATCAACCGAGGAACGAAAATTCGGGAACAGAATACATCATCGGAACCGGGGATTGCGTAGCCAGCCCCATAGAAACAAGTTGTACAAGATAGCCACAAGTCATGATAATTTCTTTTCTGCATAGCAAAATGCTTATGTACTTTTAAAAATAGAAGGAATTAAATTAAAATAGTGGGTTGCTCTAATGGTAAGCACCCTCCACTTCCAACCAAGAGGTTGTGAGTTCGAGTCACCCCAAGAGCAAGGTGGGGAGTTCTTGGAGGGATGAAGCCGATGGTCTATCGGAAACAGCCTCTCTACCCCAAGGTAGGGGTAAGGTCTGAGTACACACTACCCTCCCCAGACCCTACTAGTGAGATTATACTGGGTTGTTGTTGTTATTGTTGTTGTTGTTTCTTGTCTGAACGATGAGTTAATTTTACCATTTGAAAGTTAAACAAGTACTTCAAATGTTAGTGTTGTAATGAACAAGAAACGTTCTCTTCAAGAGCACTATAAACATAAGAGGGCCCTCTCCTATAAAAACCCTCTCATTAAAGGGTTGGTTCAAGAAGAATCAATGCCCAGAATCTAGAATGTCATCGGGGAAAAATACACCCGAAGCCGTTGCGCAAATACTCATGGAAACCCTCATGAAAAAGGGATAATACTTGGAACCAAAATGCTTCGAAGAAAAAGCATCCGAGATTACACATAATAAAGCGCGAACAGAACAACATGCGCAAAATACTTGAGCATGTACGAAAGTTAAAGACTTGCATGAATATTCAAGCGAAAGTAAGACTCAAACGACACTTGAGCAAAAAATATATTTTTATTTACAAGGATACATCAAAATGATAAAGGTACAAAATAGAAAAAGAAACAAAAAGTTAAACTGCAGCGTCTACGGAATTAGGAGGAAGAGAAGTATCTGCGTAGTAGATGGTTCCATTGATGGCTCAACATTTTCCCCAGCTTTGTCTTCGATATCATCTCATTCCGATACTTCTTCAGTTTCCAAAAACTCAGAACCGAAATCAGAAGAACTTGGAGCATCAGACTGCGCCGGGAGTCCATTGTTTGCAGCCAACTCAAGTTCTCGGGCCTTAGCAATTTCGGCATCAATATCAATGATACCAGTCTTGGCCTCTTCCAAGGTTTTTCTCCCCATGTTATTCATGGAATAAGTTTTTTCAACAATGAGGGAAGCCGCTCGGCGCTTGAGTTCTTCTTTGAGTTGAGTAACTTCAGCAGAAAGGTTTCCCCGGACGGACCTAGCAGATTTGAGACTGACATCGAGCTCACAGACAGTTGAGCTAAAGAGCCTATTATGCTCGATAGTTTTCCGGTACTTCTCTTCTAGCTGGACATGTTTCGCCACCACAGCAGCAAGCTCTTCACTTTTGGATTTTAAGGCTGCTTCCAAATTAATCACTCTTTCAGCAGAGGCAGCCTCACCATCGGTTGTAGCAAGAACGATGTTCTGGAATTCTGCCCATTTAGCTTTGGCTTCATCAAATCTAACCTTCAGTGGCCCAATTTCTTGGCTAAGGGTTAACACTTCTTGCTCGCTATGCTGCAAAAGGGCCTCCAAAATAACGGCCTCGCTAGCCTTGGTTTCCGGTTCCGAGAGGCGGATAACAGTCTGGTCCCGTTTCGCCAAAATTTGATCCCGTCAAGAAGTAAGTTCTTCCTTCTCACGAATCAGCCTTTGAAGGCCCTCAGAAGCAAGAAAGTTGGCCTACAAAACAAGAGGAGGTAAAACTTAAAGTACATTTGTTCAAAAGTAGAAGAAATAATAGAAGAAGAAAGGAACGTACCGCTGCGGCGTTGTGCATAACATTGTTCCACAAACACTCCCCCAAGAGTGTATGAATCTTTTTCCAGTATTTTTCTGAAGCCAAAGGCTTCAGATAATTAGCAAGATCCACCGGTCGGGATAGCAGGTTGCACCCAGTAGAGACCGAAA